AAATATGTCAGGGTCAGCTGCAGCTTATGTTCAATGGTCATTGTTAGACTGTTGGAAGAAATATGAGGAAACTCTATGAAAACTCCATGTGAAGCATCCACAGCTGAGATTTGAACCTAGGAGACAACAGCACCTTCCACGCAGCCAAGATTTAAACATTTGTCCAAACTGAGGTAAATCAAAGAGTTATCTGCAACAGGTAACATGCTAACTCAGTTTATTCCACAAAAGATCTGATCAAATCAGAAGGTCGTTTCTGTCCAGTTCAACAGCACTACAAGAAAAACATCAGTACGTTTATTTCTTTGTTTAAAATCCTTTTATTTCAAGAATAATTTGAGATAAAAAAAGATCCAAAATATAAAATGAAAACGTAAATCGGAGCTTTTACTTACTGGTAATACCTACGTCAAGGCGAACGTTGTACACTCTGTCCCTGCTTACTTAAGCGTCTCAAYACCACATTCGTCTTCCTCCCTTCCTCATTTCAATACAGGAAGTGCGTTTGTACTCAAGGCTGTCAGCACTCACTGTGGCCCATCTGTCTTATAAAAGTCTCGCGGACATGATCCGTCTTTAGTAGCCGAGTCCACTGCTTGTCGCCATGACCTGCTGGGACCATGAACTTCAGCACAACATTTGATGCCACATGTGGTAAACTGCAAACTCTATGGGTAGGTGTCTTTGTTTTACGTCTACTTCTTTTCACAGACAGTACAGGACATGGTTATTAAATAGGCAGGAACTGTTGAAATATGTAAATACATACACCCATTTTTTAATTAATCGTACAAATTACACAAGACTATGTAGATTTTACAGTTTGGGAAATGGATTAGGCAATATCTTACTTCACTATTTCACTTTTAGATGTCAGTGCATCGATTGAGTTATTGCAATGGAAAAGTTGGGTTTGATAGCATCTCGCCTCAGCTTCCCCATTCTGAACAGTGTGTGTGTGTGTGTGTCTCTGTTGAGAGAGCTCTTCGTCCAGCCTGTGGAGATGTGTGGTGTTTGTTGCACATCAGCAGAGAGACCTTAAGGAGCAGAAACGTACAAACCTGGTGCATGATTTTTCTCTTGACTTGACCTCAGGCTGGAGTCCGGTCCCCCAGGGAGATGGGGAATGTGATCCGAGGCGCTGGTGGCAGAAACCAGGTGAACAATGAAAACCTTGATTGCGCTCCGAAAGGTAAGATCTTAATGCAAATATGTTCGGAACAGCATTTGTGAATCAAGTTTGTTTAAAAATTGCAAACTGACAATTTTATCTGATTCTGTCTGGATCAGCTGGGTTAGTAGGATTACTTTGTGCGTTAAAAGATAAAAAAAAAAACATACACGAGGCATAAAACCATAGAATTTAGTTTGTCAAACTAGTTTCTCTGTGAAATAAAACTAATCACACACACTTGAATACTTAAATGAAAAYGAACTAAAGTTTGGCGATGGAACTTTTTGTTTTTTGACAATTTTTCCTATTTTTGGTGCGGCTGTGTTCTGCAGGTTCTGATAAAGATGTAGCGGTCGTGCTGGAGGACTACCCCTCTGCTGAAATCAGCGAGCCCATCTACAGAAAGGGCGAGATGCTCCAAGTCATTGCACAGTACGCCAAGTGTTTGTTTGGTTTTCGTGCAAACATTTGAAGAAAAAAATGGCTATGAGGAAATAAAGTTAAAAAAAGAAAAAACTTGATAGTTACTCTTTAAGAGGAAGTGAAGACACAAAAGGTCAACTGTTAATTCCCTTTTTTCTGTGTTTCTGATGGTCAGGGAAGCTTATTGGTGGAGAGTTCGCACTGCAGGGAAGGAGAACTACATACCCAACAGCCATGTGGCAAAAGTTTACCACGGGTGAGTCTAAATTAAAGCCAGTTTAATTGTTCTTTAAACCAGTTTAAAGATCAWATTTCTAACAATGTAAGAAATAGGTTTGATTTTTGGGTTTTAAGTTTTCTCATTACAAGCTTCTGGTTCTGCCAGGTGGCTCTTCGCAGGAGTGGGCAGGGAGAAGGCCGAGGAGCTACTTCTTTTGCCCGGGAACAAAGTGGGCTCGTTTCTGGTGCGGGAAAGCACAAGTGAGAGAGGTAAGAACAGTGAACCAGCAAATTATATATTTCTCTTTGGCTGTAGAAGTTTAAAGCCCTTTGTTTCAACAGAAACAAAAGAGGAAAGGCAAAAAATTTGAACTGAAAAACACAAAAGCTTCGAAAACAAAAAATAAATAATGTTTTAACATTTCAGAGCAGAGAGCAGAGTCAAGGGATAGTCTCTTCATTTTTAAAATTATATTCTGTCAAACTTTTATAAATGTTAGTAACTAAACAGCTGTTGCATAATACAGAGCACAAAGTAGAAAAGAGCACATTTCTTCCTCCAGGCTAGGCTAACAGCTAGCTAAGCAAGGATCTGTTTTTTTGTTTTGTTTTGTTTTGTTTTTCTGGTTATTTAACAGAGGTATATAAAGTACTTGGAAAAATAACTAAGTAAAAGTAAAATTACATGAACAGAAAATGACTTTGGTAAAAATAAATTTCACTGCTGAGAAAACTACTCAAGTAAAAGTCATAAAACTGTTCACGTAAAAGTACTTTTACACACTCTGTAAGAAATAAACAGTTGAATTTACTGAACCAAACTGGTTCCACTAAACCAGGTTGAGTAAATGGAGCAAAATACGTATATTCTTTACTCAATTTACTCRACTAGGCTTAATGGAGCCAGTTGACCTTACTTTGTTGAGTAAATTCAACACTTTTTTTAGAGCACATAAACATCTTCTTATGAGTTTCAACATATTTAATTTTGTAATGAGTAACAAGTTGTTAAATTTTAAAGTAAAGAAGTAAAAGTATTATTTTTAAAATTTAACAAAATAAAAGTAAAAGTAGCTATTTAAAAAAATAATTGGTAAAATTACAAATCCTCAAAAAAAAAACTGCTTAAGTACTGTAACAAAGTAAATGTACTTAGTTATAACCTCTGCTAATTATCTTATATAACACCAATAGATGCACATTGCACTGGTTTGTGAGACATTTTGTTAAACRCACACACACACACACGTTTGTGTTTCTATCATTATTCGGACCATTTCATTCATTTTCRGTCATTTCTTAGAGTGTGTCCCAACTCATGGGGTGCAGCCTATACCTAGACAGTGGCCCATGGAGCCCACAGCCTACGCAGTCTGTGTAGGCTGCATAAAACAGCTGTGAAATGAGATGGTCTAGTCTTCAGATGACGTACGCTTGGATGACCATGCACTACCTTGTTACCACAGTGTTACCTTTTATATAACATGACTTCAGGCTTAAAATGCTTTTACGTGCTTCACATGTCTTTTCATTGGAATGACTTTAAAATTAAAAATGTTACACATAAATAAATAAAAAAACATTAAAATTTTGCATTTAGATGTATTTGTAGTTGCACAATTCATCAGTTAAGTTGTTATACTTACATTTCAAAACAAATTATTCTGTCCATGATGAATTTCCAAACTACGCTGACTTGGTAGAAAAAAAAAACAATTAAAAAAACTGCCTTTTTTGTTTTTCTTGATTCGGTTTGCTGAGGGCACAATAAATCCTCAGCTGGGAAGGATACTCAGATGCAGCTTTCATTTTGGGGGGTTTTGTGGAGCCCACAAATTGAAGTAAGCAGTCGACAAAYGCAGACTTCGAAGGACGCAACCCCTGAATTGAGATAGACTTAAYGAAATCCTGACCTTTACCCTAACCCTAACTCAGCCGATACCTTAGTCCTAAGCTTAACCCATAACCCACCACCGGCGTTCCACCAGGACTTGTCTTTGGTCCCCAAAAGGACTATTGGTTATGATAAGGTTTGTATTACCAGAAATGGTCCTAAAAAGGTAACAAGAACCAGGTGCTCACACAGAATGCATGTKTGTGCAGGACATACTGCAGCTTACTTAACACACACAAACATGCAGCTGATTGATTTATCATTCCCAACTGGAAACAGACTCAGGTGAAAAATTATGTTTTTAATTTTGTGTGTTATRTCCTCAGGTCTGTATTCACTCTCGGTGAGGCACAGGCAGATAAAGCACTATCGGATCTTCAGGTTGGACAACAGCTGGTACTACATTTCCCCCAAGCTCACCTTCCAGTGCCTTGAAGATATGATCAACCATTACTCTGGTAGGCGCTCGCAGTGCATAGCTTCAGTCTGCCTGTGGAGAGGGATGTGAAAAAACAAAACAAATGTATAAATAAATAAAAATTAAAAAATTAAAAATACAAACATCAGCCACACGTTCTTAAATTAGGTTACTGAAAATAATTTTTATGCTCTTAAAATAGAAGCATTTATTATCTGTGTCAACTTTATAGCAGTACTTCCTGGACTTGTAAGTCATTTTTRGAACAAACAGGAAATGAGATACAATATGGTTGCTTGATAATAACCACGCATGCAAAAACATGAAAAAGTTGAAATAGTGCAACATTCAGAGGACGAATGGATCTCTGATCTTACCTTTTGCTTTGGGTGTTTGCTTGAGCAGCAGGGTGTGAGAGCTCTTAATGCAAATTCTGCAGCAACAGAGTTCTTGTGACTTTTTTTTCTAAAACCGCTTTTTTCCTCCATCTCTTCCTCTTTAGATTGTGCAGATGGACTGTGTTGCACGTTAACGAGTCCCTGTCTGTCAGAAAAACCGAGGACATCAGACGCAGCTYCAGATCCTCCACCTGTAGTTATGAGACGCAACTTTGACTGGAATAAAGTAGACAGGTATGGAAGATTACTGATCCTGCTGTCGGTGTTTAACCATAAGATACGAGCTGCCTGAAGCAGAAAGCAGTGATGCACCAATTAACTAATTTAAAAACTGACTAGTGACTGGAATTGTGTTTTAAGCTTGAACAAATTCCAGTTTGCTTTACAGAGAACATGTCAGTTATTTGTTAACATAGAAACGAAGCTGTCTTTTCCATGCATACAGCTACAATAAATAAATGATTCTATTGTAGATATTCCCTCTTGCAGCTACAGTACTATAACAGAAATATAATAAAAATAAAAATGTATTTGAGATGCTTTTGAGATGACCAAAAATAAAAGGATAGAAGCTGCAGGTTTTTTTTAAATTGCTCAAAGGGCCACAATTACTCAAAGCCAAAGGCTCAGGAGGTGGGGGTGGGGTCAGATAATGGTAGGGGAAACACTGCATTATGTAAAAAAATAAGTTAAGCTATTATCCTTTACATTTTAAATTTATTTTTGTTGCATTCATTTATAAATTATGTTTAAATTAAATAAAGTAAAAACATAGTGTTTTTATTATGGAACTGATTTGTTTCTTTTGTCAAAAGAAACATCTGGAAATCTTCAGAATGAGCAAAAATWACTGGAGTGGGGCATGATTATTTTTGGTATAGCTCCAATTCGAAGGCAAGTTTCAATGTGAAATACATCTTTTGTGTCCTCATCTGCTCTCTTTATAGGAAACAGCTGGTCAGCACAGACGGCCACGGTGACAGCTTGGTGAGCTACGGCGTCAGGAACAGCATCGCTGCCTATTTGTCCTTTTCGGGCCACGAAAAGCCCGAGCAGCAGCGAGCAGAGAGCAGGAAGAAGAAGAGCAAATCTGTGTACGCAATCCCCGAAAATGGCAACGCCATCGCCGATGAAAACTACGATGAAAACTTCTAGAAGCAGAGAAAGGAAAACATCCAGGAGGTCCGTGGAGGAACTCACATCTCTTAACCATAAATGTGTTTCTATTGTCTGAAATATTTAACAGGAACAGCAGTTGTTATTGTTGGGCATTATTAGAATATAACATATTGTTAGATAAAATGCTTGTACAAGTAGAAAAAGATCAAACTATTTTCTTCTAGAGTATTTTATGCTCAGTGTTAATCATATTGTATGTACATACATTTTTTGCACATAAATATAAGAAAAAAAATCTTTTACAAATTAACTCTCACTGTAAACAAAATCAGGTTTGGCTTTTATTCCATCTTGTTTGGCTTGAAGAAGTATTGTTCACACAATCCGACAAATGATGTATATTCTTTGTTTAGACATGTAGGTTTGACCAGTTCATTTTTTATTGTTTTGTTTTYGTGTGGCTGCGGTTTGAAGTAACGTCACGTACTTATTCTTATCTGAGAAATAACAAAGAAACTGAGACATGGGTGCAGTTCCTGTTAATGCTCTCTTCTAAAGATAAACTAAAGTGTTAAATGACCACTTTGCTCGTCTAATCTTAGTTTTAACACACAAGCCCAAACCCATTGGACATTCGAGAACGTGTGAAGAACCTTTGGTTTTATTTCTTCTAATGTATTTAACTACTGTTGTATAAAGTTATTTATGTGTTTAGCTGGTGTACTATAAGCGTTTCTGTTTGCCCCTTTTAAATCTTTTTGTTCATTCTATAAATATGTATTTACGTTTTCTAAATGGCTCATATGGAACGCCACTATATTTTCCTGTACTGTATGTTTAGGTAATTATTATCCTGTAAAGTGAAGGAACCACTATGTGCGAGGATTGTTGTTGACATAAAGAAAAAGTCAAACCACCAACTGAACGGCATCGCTGCACTGTGAYACATGGCACTCATCTGCATCAAATAAAAACATGTTTCAAAAAAGCAATCATTATAATAAATAATGTGAATTTCCTTTTTGCTCGCTTGCTGTGACTGATGGAAATTCTCCGCTACAACTGAATATTTTGAGCTGAATAATTAGCAATACTGCAATGGAAATAGTTGTACTGTGAAATAAACTAAACAGCTAAAGCTAATGTTTGTTTTGCAACGAGCTTGAGCAATTTCCTCTTCTGCATTTGCCAGCTGTCTGGACACAAGCTTTAACCAACAACATTTAAAGAGCCAGAGAGAGGAACACACACACCCACACACATACGCGTTTGCACAGCTATCCATTTGGGGACATTCCATTGACTTCCATTACATTTCTACAGCCTRACCCTGACCACAAACCCAAGGCTAACCTCACAGGTACCCTGCAGGTAGCTTTTAAGTTAAGGTTGAAGGGTGCACATCAGAACAACAAATTCATTTCCTGATAGCTTTTTAGCTGTTTAAGCAGCATTTTACAGTTAAAACGCCTTGCTGCAGCAGAGACAGTTATTTTATTTGAATATTTTTTTTATCAAAGACATGCAACAAGCTGGGTCTTGGGTTCAGTTGTATTTGACCTCAGGTACCTACCTGACCCTAAAACTAACCTAAACTCAATTCACACCTTGGTGCTAAACCCAACCCCCAACCCACCAATGGCATTTAAACCAAATGGGGACTTGACTTTTGTCCCCAAATGCACCAGTTCTCCCCAAAGGTAGGATTTTTGTCTTAAAATGGCCCCCAAATGTCACCAGAAACACACACACACACACACACACACACACACACACACACACACACACACACACACACACACA